GCGCAGTTCAAGCGGCAGCCGCCGCCCCCGCCGCGCGCCGCCGCCTTCCCAGGTCAGCGCGGGGCGGGAGGGGGGCGGTGCTCCCGGCGATGGCGGTCCCGGCGGGGCTGGACCCCGGAACGGCCGTTCCGGGGTGCAGGGTGCCCGGCCCCCCGTTACCGACGTGCTGCGTGTGCCCGGGGGGGGGGTCCCCGGCCCCCGGTAGCGGCGGGGCTCGGCCGTTAGCCGCAGTTAGCGGCGCTTCCGGGGTGTCCTCAGCCCCCGCGAACGTTACTGCCGCTCGGCCCCGTTAACGGCCGCGCGGGGGGCGTCAACGGCGCGGAACAGCTACGGGGGGCGGGACGCTGTAAGGAGCCACGGGGGGGCAGGGGCCGTTACCCCCCTTGGCGGAGGGGCTGTTTGCTGCCGTTGAAAGGGGGGCCCCATTCACAGGGATCTTTGGGGGGTCATGAGCCCCCATTAACAGGGGTGTCGGGGGGCATTAATAGGAGTGTTTGGGGGGGTCATTAGCCCCTGTTGATGGTGTTGGGGGGGTCATTAGCCCCTGTTGATGATCTTGGGGGGGTCATTAGCCCCCGTTAACGGGGGTGTTTGGGGGGGTCATTAGTCCCTGTTGATGGTGTTGGGGGGGTCATTAGCCCCCGTTAACGGGGGTGTTTGGGGGGGTCATGAGCCCCCATTAACAGGGGTGTTGGGGGGTTGTTAGCCCCTATTAACAGGGATATTGGGGGTCATTAATAGGAGTGTTTGGGGGGGTCATTAGTCCCTGTTGATGGTGTTGGGGGGGGTCATTAGCCCCCGTTAACGGGGGTGTTTGGGGGGGTCATGAGCCCCTATTAACAGTGCTTTTGTGTGCGTGGGAATCATTAGTTTCTGTTAATGATGTCGGGGGGGGAGAGGGGCATCCAGCTGCCATCGCTGGGGGTCCTTGTCTCCTGCCCCCCCCCATTGAAGCCGCCGCTGCCGCAGGGAGCCCCCAGACGTCGCTGCTGGGGCCGCCGCCGGGGCTGCTGGCGCCGCCGGTGCCCGCGGAGCTGCTGCCGAGCGCGCGGCACCTGCAGGTAGGTGCGGGGGGGCCGGGCGCCCCCGTCGCGAGCGCCGGCCCCGCCGCCACCGCCGGCCCCTCCGCCCCGCAGGTGGGCGACAAGCAGCGCGTCTTCACGGGCATCGTCACCAGCCTGCACGACTACTTCGGCGTCGTGGACGACGAGGTCTTCTTCCAGCTCAGGTGAGCGGCCTGATGGTGATGGTGATGGCGGTGGGGGGCGCGGGGGGCCGCGGCGGGCGCCCCCCGGCTCACGCGGCGCCCGCCGGCCCAGCGCGGTGAAGGGCCGCATGCCGCAGCTCGGCGAGAAGGTGCTCGTGAAGGCGGCCTACAACCCGAGCCAGGCCGTGCCCTGGAACGCGCTCAAGGTGCAGACGCTCTCCAACCAGGTGCGTGCCGGGAGCCCCCCCGCCGGCCCCCCCGGCCCCCGCGGGGCGCCCGTCCCGCCGCTCACGGCGCTGCCTGCTCCCGCAGCCGCTGCTCAAGGCTCCTCTGCTGCACGTGGCCTCGCTGGGGCAGAAGCAGGGCATCCTCGGGGCGCAGCCGCAGCTGCTCTTCCAGCCCCCCCGCATCCCGCCGCTCTTCCCGCAGAAACGTGAGCACCGGCGGCTCCGCGGGATCCCGGCGGCCCCCGCTCCGAGCAGGGACCCCGAGGAGGCCGTGGGGAGGGCGCCGCGCTCCCGGGCCAGGCGGCACCGGCTGCTCTCAACCCCCTGTGTCTCCCCCAGCAGTGAACGTCTTTCCGGCGCCCCCGTCCCTCCCGCTGGGACACCTGGGGAGATACCGGGGACCGAAGGGCCGGAGCGACTCCGGCAGGTGGTGAGCAATGGGGTGTCTGCGCTGCGCGGGAAGCCCGGGATTATCCCGGTTTTCCCACTTCGTCCTGGGCCTTTGGGCAGGGGGCTGCTCTCTAGGTAGTGCTCGGGCCCTTGGGCGTCGCGGGGGGCCGTGGTGCCGCTCTGACGTGCGCCCCGCCGCTCGCAGGGACGACTTCGACTCCAAGAAGCGGAAGCAGAAGGGAGCGGAGCCCTGGGCGGGGAAGAAGGCTCGGCACGAGCTGCCCCAGTACCGGGTGCACTTCGCCCGCTACGCCGTGGACAGGTGAGAGCACCTCGGGGTGCCCGGCCTGCCTCGCTGCCCGGGGACGGGCACCCAACGGGTAAGGGGGGGAAACGGCAGGCAGAGCTCCCGTGTCCGGGCTCGCCGAGGGCCGGGGAGCGGCTGCGCCGCTCCGAGGGAGGCTTTGAGGCTGTTTGCGGGGTTTTCCACGTGCTGTTTCGCAGCCCCTTCTGCGACGCCATGGAGATCCTGCGGCGCTACTGCAGCATCCCGCTGCCGCACGGCTTCTACGACGTGCGCCTGTGCTGGCTGGCGGCCTTCCCACTGGCGCGGCCCCTCAGCCTGCAGCGGCGCAGCCGCATCGTGCTGGCCGAGCCGCGGGCAGCGCCCGCCGAGGCGCCCGCGCCGCCCGACGCCCGCGCCGCCTTCAGCGCCAAGGTGAGGGAGGCGCCCGGGGCTCCGCTGGCCCCCGGGACGGCGGTGGCCTCGCGGTGTCCCCTGGGCGCTGCCTCACCGGGCTGCCCCGCTCTCAGGTGCTGCTGCCCTCCTGGCCGGGCCTCGAGGAGCTTTACCGCACCTGCCTGTCCTACATCGACGACTCCGGCGAGCAGAGGGAGGCTCCCGAGCACCCCACCAAGCAGATCAAGGTGAGGGCGGCGCCGGCTCCCCGTGCGGAATTCCCATGGCTAACCCCTCGTTTGGGGAGAAAGCCGCCGGCTGAGGACGTTTGCTCGGGTGCCACCTTCCGCGGTTCCTGCTGCCACGGCTCCGTGGTGACGTCTGCCCAACCTTAGGGAGCTCATTCCCAAAGGAAGCCCTTTGGCTCCGGGAGGCAGTCGGGATGCTGCGGGGCAGCCAGGCTCACGGCCCGTCTCTCCCTTAGTTCCTGCTGGGGAAGAAGGAGGACGAGGCCGTGCTCATCGGCGGCGAATGGTCCCCGTCGCTGGACGGCCCCGATCCCGAGGCCGATCCCATGGTCCTCGTTCGCACGGCCATCCGCTGCACCAAGGCCCAGGCTGGGCTGGACCTGAGCAACTGCACCAAGTGGTGAGTGGGATCGTGGAGCGCGTGGGGCCGTCCCGGCTCATCCGTGAAGTTGTCTCCTTGGGATGCCAGAGCGCTGGGCATTACAGCGTTGAATAGTGGTTTACCAGTAGCAGAAAATGAGCATAAATAGCAAAAAACACATTGCAGAGCTAATCTTCCTTTTCCGCACGCTCTGCCTGTTAACACTGCGGATCTTGTGGGTGGTGCAAGAAAGCAGCAATTTCCCCTTGTTCTCGCGGGAAGGGAGGCCTCCCAGCCCGGGCGCACGGCTCTTGGCTTGGGAGCGGGTTTCCTGCGGCCGGACAAGACCAGAATTCCCACCGGCAGGAAGGGCCCGGCTTGGTTTCCTGGGCTTGCGCCTGTCTTTGGAGCAAAGGGACAGCAGGAGGAGCTGGTGGCCCGGGAAAGGGACCGGTGTGTGTGAGGCAGCTCCGCGGGCGCAGGAGCCGGGGAGCAGCGGCTGGGAGCAGCTCTGCAGGCACGGGGAGGCTGGCGGCCCCGCACCGGGACACGGGGCTGTGCGAGGGGGGACACCAGGAGCAGGGAGGGCTCGAGGAGCTGCAGCCCGCGTGGCTCTTGGTCTCTGCAGCGAGCAGCGCAGCCCCTCCGCGTTAGGCCGGGCTCCTGGCGCACTCGTGGCACCCTCGGGAGGTTGTCGCCCACCTTGCTCCGTGCTGGAGCCCATGCAGGGCCGGCCGAGCTCCCGGAGCAGCCCCCGTGGGGAAGCGCAGCCCTCCCTCGGGTGCCTTGGCTCGGCTCCTTCTTCCCCGGTTATATATAGCATTCCTGCTCCGGGTAACCGTGGCAACTGAGTTTATTTTGCTTAAACCTGGCCCGGCATGTGATGCGCTTGGGAAGGAACAGCTGAGGGGAGATGGAAGTTCTCGGCGCTGGGCGCTGGGGGAGGAGGTCTGGCTCCGTCCCAGCAGCCGTGGCGAGGGCGCGGGCTCGGAAACGTGGTGCAGGCTGCGCTGGGGCTGCGCTCGCGCCCGGCCTCGGCGCGCGCCCCTGCGGGCACCCGGGCACCGCTGTCCGGGATGGGGACGGAGCTTTGCCCGAGGAGCCGCCCCGCGGCGCCGGGGCTCCCCCTGAGCGCTGCTCCCCGCCGTGCCGCAGGGCCCGCTTTGCCGAGTTCAGGTACCTGCGCCAAGGAGAGCCGTCCCAGAGCGAGCTGGCGGTGGTTTTCCTGCCCGACGTGTGGGCCTGCATGCCCTCCCTGCAGCAGTGGGAAGCGTGCCGGCCCCAGGCGCCCGCGTCGCCGCGGGACCCGCCGGCTGCCACGGTGAGGCCGGGCCGCGTGCCGGGGACAGGGCCGTGCCGGGCGGCGCCGTCGCGTCCCTGCGAGGCGGCTTGGGGACACTGGGGACATCTGGGGCCGGGCTGCCCCCGGGGCCGCTGCCAGCGCCCGCTCTCCGCTCCCCCTCCACAGGAGACGGAGGCCGCCACGGAGGCCGATCCCGAAGCCGCGGTGTCTCCGGAGCCGGCGCTCGTGGCGCGGCCACGTGCCCGGGACGCCTGCTCCAACATCTCCCTGTTCGCCTTGCTGGAGTACCGCAGGCGCAGGGAAAAGCTCTCCTTCGAGGTAGGTCCGGCGGCGGGCGCCGCGGCCCCGCGCCCGCCAGCGCGGCGCCCCATGGCTCCCTCTCCTCGCAAGGTGGCCGTGGTGGCGGAGCTCTTCCAGGAGATGCTGCAGCGGGATTTCGGCTACAAGCTCTACAAGGCGCTCCTGGCCTTGCCCGAGAAGGAAGAGGCGCCGGAGGGCAGGAACCCCGAGCTGGAAAGGGCCCCCGAGCCCGCGAAGGAGCCGCCTGCGGAGGCCGCTGTGGCCAGCGAGGAGGCCGAGCAGGTGGGTTCCCTGCGGTCCCCTCGTGGCCCCGCAGCCCGACCCCTTCCCAGGCTCTCATCGTGTCCTGGCCCTGCTCAGCCCCCTCCCAAAAGCGAGCCTAGGAGCACGGAGGCAGAGAGGCCGGCGGGCAGCGAGGCAGCCCCGGCGGGCGGAGAGCAGGAGAGGAGCCCAAGTGAGTGCAAAGGAGATGCCAAAGACTCTGCGGGTGAGCTGTGCGTGCTGAGCCTGGGGGACGGCCTGCTGCTGCTGCCGGAGGAGGAAGAGGAGGAGTTCGGTGTGTTGCAGGCGCAGGGAGGAGAGCGCAGCCCCTCTGCGGCAGCACCGCGCAGGGACCTCATTCCTGGCTCTCCCGCAGGTGCCAAGCTGGAAGATGCTGAAGTGAGATCCACGGCGTCCAACCAGTCAGAGATGGAGTTCTCCTCCCTCCAAGATGTGGTGAGCGGAGCCTAGGGGTCCCTCTTGGTCCTCCAAGGGCTTAAGTCACAGGCTGGGACAAGGTGGCTCTGGTGGCCATCCCGTTCGTGGGATCAAGGATCCTAGGGAAGGAGCCCGTTTGGTGCAAGCGGGAGGCTCCCACCGGCTCCATGTGCTGCAGACGGGTGTCGCGTCCGAGCGTCGCAGCCTCTCCCTGCACTAAGACCCGTCCGCCTTTCAGCAGCCCAAGGACCTGGATCCGAGCGCCGTCCTCCCCCTGGATGCTCTCCTGGCCTTCGTCTACTTCGATTCCAACTTCTGCGGCTACCTGCACCGCAGGGACCTGGAGAAGATCCTGCTCACGCTGGGGCTGCATCTCTGCAAAGAGCAGGTGGGCGCGGGGTGGCCGTGGGCCCCTGGGGCCGGGCCCGCGGCCGCGCTCACGCGCTCCGTGTGCAGGTGAGGGGCCTGGTGAACCGCGTGGTGACGCAGTACGCCTGCCAGTACCGCAGCCTCCGCTACGGCCGCCACGAGGCCGCGGAGGCCGGCGGCCCCGAGGAGCAGCAGCTCGGTAGGTGCCGGTTCTGCAGGCCCCGCTCCGCTTCCCCGAGCGGGCTCAGCGGTCGCGCGGATCCCGCTCCTCCGCGTGTCTCGTGGTGGCGACGGGCCGTTCCGTTGTTTTTCCAGGAAACCTCCCTCTGCTGCCTCCCGCGCGGCCCCCGGCCGAGGTGTCGGCGGCCGCGGAGCAGGGCGGGCTGGTCTGCCACAAGGGCACGGTGCTCAACGTGGGGAGGCTGCTGGAGCAGGCGGAGCAGGCGGAGAGCAGCCGCCTCTACCTGGAGGGCAGGATCCACGCGCTGGAGGCCAAGCTGGGTGAGCGCCGCGGGCAGCGCCCGCTCCCGTGCGGCCCGGGCCGGGGGCACGAGCCGCCTGCGCCCCTCGGGCGGTGCCGGGCTGCGCGGGGCGGCCCCGAGCCCCTGTGTGCCCCCAGAGGAGAGCGAGAGCCGCCTGTCGGGCGCCGAGTCGAGCGGGACGGCGCTGGCGGCCGAGCTGCGCGAGCTGCAGCGGCGCCTGGCCGAGGCCGAGGAGCAGGCCCGCGCGGCCGAGCGGCAGAAATGCCACCTGCAGCGGCTCCTGCAGGAGCACCGAACGCGCCTGGCCCCCGTGCAGCTGGAGATCCAGAGCCTCCTCGAGAAGGTAGCGGGGAGGGAGGCGGCATTCCCGGCAGCTCCGCGGCAGCGCTGGCCGGAGCTGCCTCCTCACGCGGCCTCCCTGCTCTTGCAGACCGACAACTGCTTAGACCAGGACGTGGCCTCCTCCAAGTGATGCCTGCTGCGCCCGCGGGCACCGGCGGCCTCGTCGGCGCCGGGGCTGCCTGCGCCTCCTCGCCGCAGCGGTGCCGGAGCGGCGCCCGCGCCGCGGGGCGCGCCGCCATCTGCTCTGGCTAGTCACTCCCAGTTCGTGGGAGCCTCTTAGGTAGGAAACGGGGCAGCCCCGTGTGTGGCTGCTGGAGCCAGGGCTTGGGCTCCCTTGGTGCTCCGTAGGTGGCCTCACGAGGGAGGGACAGGCTCGTTTTCATAGGACAGAGGACCCAAAAGGGACTGGCTGGGGCTGGCACTGTCCTGTGGCCCCGGCAGCTGCGCTCCCCGATGCCCCGCGAGGGTCCCTTGAGAGCAGCAGCTCTCGGTTCCCCGCGTGGAGCCCCCCGGGCCAGCTCTGCACAGACTGCACGTCCCCGCCGCTCCCGCGGTGGCCTCGGCGCGGGGCGCTGCGGGAAGACCCCAGCGCGGGGACACGTGGGGCCAGCCGGGCCCCGCAGAGCGGCCTTTGGGCTGGGGGCAGCAGCCCGGGCTCCTCCAGGCCGGCCTTATGCTGTGCAGGGGCTTCCCAGCGCGTTTTAGACTTGTCCGAGGGGTCACACCTTGTGTTTAACTGGAGACGTCTTTGCAACTCGCTTCAGCTTCGGCCTCTGTGACTGTGGCGCCGTCTCCCTGCCCGCGCCCCCGGCCCGGCCCTTGTGCCTCTTAGGGACGAGGACTCTGGGAACAGCCCCCCGCTCCCCCTGGCAGCTCTCCCCAGGGTGTCCCTGGGGTGTCCCGGGGGCCGCCCACCCCCGTGTCCCCGCTGTGTCCCCGCAGTCCCCGTGGCAGCGCCCGGCGTGTGGCAGCAGAGGGCAGCAGCCCCACGCCCCCAGCGCCTCCCGCACCTCCCTGCGCAGCCCATGCATCCCCCGTGTTCCCACACATCCTCGTGCATCCCACGCATCCCCCCTCGGTCGGCGCTCCCTCCTGCACGTGTCGCCTCGCTCGGCTGCTCCGCACACAAACTTTATTGGAGGAGCAGGGCTGCGGGCGCGAGGCCGGCACAGGACCCAGATCCCCCTCGTGCCCCTCTTCCCACCTTGGCTCCTGCCCCCCCGCAGGAGCCACTTGACTTTTCCCTTTTTTTCCCTTTCCACCCTGGGCCCCCTCCTGGCTGCAGCCTCGGCCCCATCCCCGCGGACCTCGGACCCCATCCCCATCAGCACCACGGCAGCCTCCCCTGCTGCTGCACCTGTAGGTGCCTCCGGCAGCTCTTCCCTCCCTGCTGTTGTCACCCTATTCCTAAGGCACTAAGAGAGGAGGCGGGAAGGCCAGGACCCCTTCCAGCCCCCTGGCAGGGTGGGAATTGCCCAATACCCGTTCAAAGGAGCTGCGGCTTGGGAAAAGGGGGAGAGGGTTTGGAAAAGGGCTGGAGGGAAGAGCCCTTTTTCCCCGGGAGCCCCATGGGGACAGGAGGGAAGAGCCCCCCGTTTTCCCAGGAGCCCCATGGGGACAGGAGGGAAGAGCCCCCTTTTCCCGGGTGCCCCCGGGACAGCAGGGAGCAGCTGCGGGTTGCGCACACAGGGAGTGTCGGGGTGCGGAGCGGGGCCCCCGCGGCGGCTCTCCCGGCGCTCAGTCGTCGGCCACGATGGAGAGCGCGCGCAGCTCGGCCAGCCTGGCGTCGTGCTGGCGCTCGCGCTGCTCGTCGCCCGGCCGCGGCTCGGCCACGCGCGCCGCCAGCTCCCCGAAGATCTTGTGCAGCTCCGTGTAGTAGCCGACCTGGCGGGAGCGGGCGGCAGCTGCGGAGCCGCTTCCCGGAGCCCCGGAGAAGCTGCCGCCCGCCTGGCGCTGCCGCTCGCTCCGCGTGACATCCCGCTGCCCTCGGCGCCCCCGAGGCGAGCGGCGCCGCGGCGCTGACCCCAGCGCTCCGGCCCGGCCGCGGGGGCGGCCCCGGCCCCATGGGGGGCTCTGCCCCACAGCGCGCCGGGCCGGGGGGCGGCCCGGAGCTCCCCGCGCCGGGAGGTGCCGGCGCGCGAGAGGCAGGGGGAGGGGTGTCTTAATAACGTGCTAATTAGCACCACCAATTACCGGCGCCAACGAGCAGCGCTTGCCAGCGCGGGGGGCAGCGGGTCAGCGCAGGCAGATGGCAGCGGGCGCTGGCGGAGGGAGCAGGGGACGCTGCGACAGGGGAAAAGGGGTGGGAAACGGCAGCTCTGCCCCGAATCCCAGCAGTGCCTGCGGAGCAGCCGGCGCTCGGCGCATGCTGGGGGGCCGGGGGGGGCCCCGGCGTGGCCCCCGGAGCGCCGTTCCTGGTGGGAATGCCGCCTGGTCTCCATGGAGACCGCTGCCTCCTCCCGGCGCTCCCATGGGATGGGGAGGGAAGCGGCTGGGGACGGGCACGTCCTGGTGCTGCCGGGGATTGAGCAGCGCTGCTCATTGCCCAGCGACTGAGGGCAGCGCCGGAGCCATCCCGTGGGAGCGGCGGAGCGGCCCGCACGGACACGGACCCCGCGGGGCCGGCGCTGCTCCGCGCTGGGGACGGGCGAGGCCCGGGACGGAGCCGGGCGCGGGGGCGGCAGAGCTATTCCGTGCGGGAATGCCAGCGGCGCCGTGCACGCGCGGCATGTCGCGCGGCGGCACCGGGCCAGCGCGGCCCGTGGGGAGCCGCCCGCGCGGGGCCGCGACGCCGCTTCGCTGGCGCCATCGGGCAGCGTCCCGGGGCCCCCTGCCACCCTGTTTGCAGAGCGGTCACCCCATCCCAGGGTGTCCCGCTCCGTGCCCTGGTGCCCAGCGAGGAGCTGGCGATGGGAATGGCACCGTGTGCCCCGGCTCCCTGCTGGACACGGCGCTCGATGCGAGGGGTCGTGGGACGGTGGCACTAACGGGGCTGCAGCAGCCCCATGCCGGGCACGTGTGACACGGCTCTGCTCGCAGCCCGTGCTCTGCGGCGTCCCAGGAGCCGGCGCGGCCCGTGGTGCTGTGGGACGAGCGGGCCGAAGCTGGCAGCTCTGGGCACCGGGTCATCTGAGCCCCATTGCCCCTCACCTGCGCGCGGACCAGCGACTCGAAGCTGGGCTTGAAGTAGTCGATGCGGCTGCTGTAGAACTTGGGCATCTCCTCCAGCAGCTGCTTGTTCTTGGCTTCAAAGTCGTCCCGCACGGGCCGCAGCTCCTCGCGGGCCTGGCACCGGGGAGGGGACACGAAGGGGGTCAGAGCGCGGCGCTCCGGGCGGCCCCGCACCAAGGCCCCGGCTCCGGCTGCCCCCGGGAAGCACGGGGACGAGCGGGAGCCGGTCCCTCGGGACGCGGTGCCAGCGGGACCCGCCGTGCTGGTGCCGAGCGGCTGTGCCCTGGACCCCGTCCCGGGGTGTCGCCAGCCGCCCCGGTGACCTTCAGCACCGCGCGGCCACCGGCTGCTTTCAACAGACGCGTGGGGAGAAAGGGAAATGTCTCGGGGCTGGTGTGGAAAAGGGCAGCAGCGGGTGGGCTGCGAAACCTTAGCCGGGTTCAAGTCGGCCACTTAATCCCGCCGCGATTCCAGCGGGAGGGGAAGGGGCCGCGGGCCAGCGCCGGCGCGGCCGGGAGCAGAGCACCGGGCCCCGGGAGCAGAGCACGGGGCTGCGCTCGTCCCGAGGGGCTCGCATCCCTCTGGAGTTCACTAACGGGCGGGGGGAATAAATAACCCCAAATTCGCTTAATCGCCAGGACAAAAGAATTCCCATTTTCCAGGCGGCTTTAGTCACTGAGGCTAAGCAAAGTAAGCTGCTTACTAGGAAATCGGAATTCGCTTTTGTCAGTGCTGATAGGGCCATTCTCTCGCACAATACCTAATTTGGGGAGCAGAGCAAGGGGAAACGAGTGCGCTCCGATGCTGAGCCGTGGCTCCGGCAAGCACCGGGCACGAGCGTGGTGGGAGAGTCCGTCTAAAAGAGTGTGATTTTTGCTACCAGTTTTGGAAAGGAGAAAGAATTTGGCCAAGGTCCCCGTTAACCAATTACTGCAATTTTCCAAGACTTTTTTTCTTTTTTCTTTCTTTTTTTTTTTTTTTTTGGTAACAGGTGGCCCATATAAAGAATGGAAAAGCTCTGATCTTCTTTCTTTTTATATCCAGCTGTTTGGTGGGACACGGAGGTCAAGGGCAACCCCACGGGCTCTCATGGTGGGGGGGGGTTGGTTCCCAGGGAGTTTATGCTGGACTCCACCGAGTCGAACAGAAGAGAGGCAGAACCGAGTCCAACACGAAAAGCTGGGCTCAGTCCTGCCCCTCTGCTGAGGGCCGCAATTTAATTGCATTTACACTGAGCCTCATGGGTGCTAACATGTGGAAAATTGCCCTTTCCTGGGTGCTGCCTGAGCTGGGCTCGGCTCCGTACCTGGTGCAGCTTGGCGAGCACGGGGCCGGTTCTCTCCTTCTCCTCGTACTTCTCCACCTTGGCCTGCAGCCGCCGGTAGTCCTGCAGCGTCTGCTCGCGCCGCTTCACGGCCACGTTGAGGCTGGGGAAGACGCTGCTGAACCTGCAAGCGCGAGGGCACGAGTGGGACGGGGCCCCGGGGCGACGGCCCCGCGCCGCAGCCCGGCCCCCCCGCGCTTCCCGGGAAAGCGCGTCCCGGGAAAGCGCTTGCATCCCGTCCTACAGCGCGCCGGGAGAAGCCGTAACCCCCAGGTACATTTGCAAGCAGAGCGGGAAACACCCTTGCATTTGGTTAAGGTCAATTCATGTCTCTAAGGGTGTGTTTTTAAATTAAAAAAAAAAAAAAGAACTACTTAAAATCTAGGCAATTCTGCAAAGTCTGGTAGAAGTACTTTGAAGTTCCCAATCTGCTTTTAAACTCGCCTGCCAACCCTTATGGTTTTACAATTAGCTTTTTATTTTTAACCGTTTTCCCCCCTCTCGCGCAGCTGCTCGCGGCAGCGCTGGCGCGGGGGCCGCGGGCTCGGCAGGGCGGCAGCGCGTCCCCCGTCTCCTGCCCCTGCACACTCGCCCCACGCGGCATTTCCACGCATTTCCACGTTTGCACTTGTCCGAAGCCGCACTGTGCAGTTCCCCACGGCGGCATTCGGCTGAACGCCGTGTCGAGAGGAAAGCGGCAGGGCCGGGGGCGGCACGGCCGCGGCGACGCTCCGCGCGCCCCGTGCCAGCGCGTGCCGCTGCGCTCGCAAAGGGAGGGTGCCGGCGGCCTCGGCCGCTTGCCCGGCTCCAAGGAGCTCCCAGGATGAGCGGAGCAGGGAGAGGAGCTTGGAATGAGGCCGGAGCAGCACCTCGCGCCGCCGCAGCGGCCCAAACACCCGCCGCGACAACAACCACAACCGCAGCAACAGCCGCCACTCAGGGTGACCGAGGCCACGCGGGGGGACCCCCCGGCGCCCCGGCTCCCGCGGCCCCGATGGGGACCCCGGGTGGCGCTGCTGGGCGTCCCCGCGCCACCTGAGAAAGTCATGAGGGAGCCCAGGCACTTCGCGGGGCGCGTCAGCGGCCGCCCAGCTGCCCGGATCACATGCTGCTCCCTGACTTTGCTTTTTATGGTAGCTCTCGCTGGCCGTCGGATGGGACTGTCACCACCACCGCGCGCAGGGGCACTGTCCCTGTGCCATGGGCCGCGCGGCCACATCCTGGCTCGGCGCATGGCCCAAAGCTCAACGGCAAAGAGTGGATGGGGATAGGGAAACTGCCCGGGAAAGAGTGGATGGACAGGGTGGGCACCAAAACTTCCCAGGACAGAGTGGATGGACAGGGTGGGCACCGAGGGCTGCGCGGTGAGGAAGGACACGCGGCCTCGGCCATCAGCACAAACCTGCAGCGGCTGCAGGGACCCCTCAGCCCCGATCGTAAAGCGCAAGGGGCAGAAATGAGGAGGAAGCCTTGGGAAAGGCGGGCGCCACGCGAGCGCCGCACGCTAGCGCTGGGATAGCGCGTTTCCCTCCCGCCAGCCCTGTCCTCGTGCAATGTCCAGCCTTGGTGCTCCCCGGCGCTGCCGCAGCAGCCGAGGCTCCAGGCGGGAGCGCCGCGGGAGCAGCGCGTCGCGGTCGCATCCCGCGATCCCGCCGCCCTGGGGCTTGGGAAGGGCATGGGCGCCAGGGACACCTGCGGCACGGGGCATTAGCGCCGCCGCCACCAAAGCCGCTTGCGGAATTAGCGGCCGCCGCTCCCTGTCACTTTTTCGGCAGCGCTGCTGAGCGGGGATTAGCGGGCAGGCAGCTTAGGGGAGCAGGTGAGGGGAGCTACGCGGCGCTGGCTAAAGGCAATTACCGGCCCGGCTGCCCCCTGCCCGCTCCGCAGGGACGCACGGGGCCCGGCAGGCTCTGCCGGCACGGCCGGGCTGTCCCGGGACTCCCGATCAGCCCTGCTGGGAGCAGCGGGATGCGGGAGCACCAGGGCACCCGCCAAAGCTGCCTGGCTCCTCACTCATTCCCACCCCGGTGTCCTGCGGGAGCAGCGGGCAAGCAGGAGAAGTGGCCGGGGGCTTGGGAGGGCGCCGGGCGGGCACCGGATTCCTGCCATTCCCACGCGGCCGCCGTGGGCCCCTCCACCCACCAGGAAGGGGAAACCGAAGCCGGCGCTTCCGAGCGCGGCGCGGGAGCAGCCGCGCAGGGCGGGAGGGCGCGGGATTAGGGCGCCGGGCCGGGGGGGCGGCCATGTGGCTGGCTTTGCGGGCAATCCTCATTAGAGCCCCGTGAGGACACGAAAGCGGCTTTTCCCGCTTCCGCTCCGGCCCCCCTGGGGCGCCGGGGGGCCGCTACCTGCCTCGGGAAGGGAGCGTCAGGGCGGGATGTGCGGCACAGCTCGGGATGCGCGGCACGGCCCGGGATGCGCGGCACGGCTCGGGACACGGAGCCGCCACGGCTCGGGATGCGGCACGGCACAAGATCCTGCAGCCAGAGCACGTGGGAGGCTCTGGGAGGGAAGGGATCCCGTCCCCCGGCTCCTCCGGAGCGCTTCCCGCCCCGGTGCTCCATAGGGACGCGGCGGGACGCGCTGCGTCGCCGGCCCCGCGGGAGCTGGCGCGTGTCGCTCCGAGCGCTGCCGGCACTGGCGATGAAGCACAAACAGCCCTTTCCCCCGCCTGGCCCCAATCCCTGTCTCCGCTGGGAATCCCGGCCGGCATCTGCGGCCGCTCCTGCCCCGTGTCCTCGGCGAGCCCTGGAACACGCGCCGCTCTCCCTGGAGTTAAAGGAGTCATTCCCAGCCAAGGGCTCGTGGCCGCTCGGGAAGCCTGGGGCTCAAGGAGCCCCCAAGAAGCCTCAATAGTCATACAAAGTCTCTGCACAGCCCCAAAGCAGCGAGATCCACACAGTACAAGCCACCACCTCCGCCTAAATCCACTCCCGCTTCCTTTCACATGGCTTCTTGTAGCAAATTCCCCAATATTCCTCCGACATCTCCTAGGCCTGGACGACTGAATGGAGATTTTACTACCCATGTGCCTCTGATTACAAAATCTTACCACTAATGATAATTGCCTGGATTACACTTCTCTGTGCCTTTGGCTAATAAAGCATGGAAAAGACCACCAGTGCAGCCGTAACAAAGCGCAGCTGTGGAAGCCGAGCCCGGCTCCGGGTCAAGGCACGCTCGGGAGAGGCGGCGAGGACGGTCCCGCAAGCGGGAATGAAGAGCTCCCCGAGGCAGCTTCCCTCCACCTGCAGCCTCTGTCCCGTGGCCATTCCAGGCGGTGGGAATGTCCCCGCGCGTCCCGCAGCTGCCGGGGCTGCGCGGGGCTCCGGGGCTCCGCAGCGTCGCCGTGCGCGAAGCAGAAGCGCTTGGCGAGCAGCAGCTGCCGGCAGGTGCCCGGGGCACGGGGGGGAAAAACACCCTCCCAGGGGGAGTTTGGGGGCGAAGCGGCCAGGCTGGCGGGCACGCGGGGGCGGCTTCCCGAAAATCCCCCTGGAAAACGGCAGGCGGAGCAACCTGGCACCGCAGCGGGACACGGCCGCCCGCCCTGCGCCCAGGGGCGCCCCAAGGGCCCCCCGAAGCAGAGCGCCCAGCAGCTGGGCTGGCCTTGGCCAGGAGAGGCTCTCTCCCATCACGCCAACTAAGAGACGTTCAGGGGAAAAAAAAGAAAAAGAAAAAAAAGAAGAAAACACGAACATTTCAGACACACAAGCACTTCTTTCAGCCTTAACAGAATGCTGGAAGAAAAAGTTAATGTATCTTTCATGAGGACAATCTAGATAATAAGCAACACAATTCCCGAGCATAAGCTGGGGAGGTTTTTTTTTTTTCCTCTTCTTTTCTACTTCTTTTTTTTTTTTT